CCCCCCCCCCAGCAAATAAAGAGCTGCATCATCACGGCGCTGTTTGTTCCAGCTCCTTTCCCTCTAATTTTGGACCCGAAAAAAAAAATAAATAAATAAAATCATAATGTGACACAAATGTTTGCATCTAAAAATACAGCCGGGAAGCAGAGCCAGCACTGCGCGTCACGGGGGCTGCGGCTCTCCCCCCCCTCTGGCCCCCCCCCTTCCCCCCCCCATCCCCTACAGCAGCACCCAGGGGTGCCCCTCGGTGGGACCCCAGGCAGGGTGACCCCAAATGTGGGGTGGCACAGGGCAGGGGGTGGGATGGGGGCTGCTGTGTCTGTGTGGGATGGGGGGTGGTGTGTGGGGGGGAGCGTGGCTGGGGGTGGTGGTTCAGCATAGGTGGTGTGGGTTTGGAGGGGTGGGATGGGGATAAATGTAGAGATGGGGATGGAAATAGGGACAGGGATTGGGATGGGTGTGAAGATGGGGACAGGGATGGAGGTGGTGTTGGGATAGGGCTAGAAACGGGGACAGGGACAGAGATGGGATGGGGACAGAAATGGAGAGAGGGGTGGCGTTATTTTTATTTATTAATTTCAGGTCCGAAATTAGAGGGACAGGAACTGGAAGAGGGATGGAGATGGAGATGGGATGAATACAGGGATGGGATGGGGTGGGGTGGGATGGGATGGAGGTGGGAATGGGGATAGAGACTGAGACGGGATAGGGACAGAAGAGGAGACAGGGACCGAACGGGGATGGGGGTGGGATGAATATGGAGACGGGGATGGAAATGGGGGGGAAATGGGGCAGGGATGGAGACCGGGCTGCGGCTGGGGCTGCGGGTGGGATGGAGGCGACGGGGCCGAGCCGGGCTCCGAGGGGTTAAGCGGGAGCCTCCGCGATTGGCTGCGGGCTGCGAGGCGGCAGCCAATGGGAACGCGCCGTGCGCGGGGGTCGCCGCGCCGGGTCCGCCCCCTGAGCGCCGTCCCGGGGCGCGGGCGCTGCAGCGCGGTGCGGGGCTCGGCCCGGCCCGGCCCGGCTCGGCTCATTCCGGCGCGGTTCGGTCCGGCTCGGCTCGGCTCGGCCCGGCTCATTCCGGCGCGGTTCGGCTCCTCTCGGTTCGTTTCGCCTCGGCCCGGCCGCGGGCTCCGGTAATACCCGGAGGGGTGGGGGGAGCGGGAGGGGGGGGGGGGGGGTGAAGCAACCTCCGCTGGGGGCGGGGCCGGGCTGGGTCACGTGGTGCAGCGGTACCGGGCCCGGAGCGGCGGAGGGGGGGAACGGAACCGGCCCGCTGTGTAACGGCACCGGCACCGGCACGGCCGCACCGCGCGGTGATAACGGGGACATCCACGTGGTGACGGCGGCGAGCGCAGCGCCAACCGACCGCGGGGTGAAGGGAGCCGGCCGGGCTGCGACGGCGGGGACAGCACTGCTGTGACAGTGATGGACCACGGCCACCCGGCGCAGTGACGGTGCGTGAGCAGGACGCCTCCGTGCTGTGACACTGGGTGACCAAAACCGGCCCAGGCTGTGACACTGGGTGAGCAGAGCCATCCGATGCTGTGACACTGGGTTATCAAAGCCACCCTGCTGACACTGGGTGACCAAAGCTGCTCTGTGCTACACCTGCTTGAGCTGGGACAGCCCCGCTGTGACACTGGGTGACCAAGGCCACCCCAGGCAGTGACACTGGGTGACCAAGGCCATCCGATGCTGTGACACTGGGTTATCAAAGCCACCCCAGTGGCATTGGGTGACCAAAGCCGCACTGTGCTGCGACTGCTTGACCAGGAGCAGCCCTGCTGTGACACTGGTTGACAACAGCCATTCCAGGCAGTGACATCGGCCGACCAGGACACCTCCAAGCAGTGACACTGAGGTGACCGAGGCTCTTTCAGTGCTGTGACATCGGGTGACCAAAGCCCCGTGCCATGCTGCACTGCCACATGCTGTGACCCCACTGCCCACCCCAATCCCCCCCACACTTGGTGCCATGGCGGTGCTGGTGATGCTGGCCATGCTGGTGATGCTGGCGGTGCTGGCGGTGCCGGTGGCCGGGAGCTGCCCCACGCGCTGCGTCTGCGCCTCCAACATCCTCAGCTGCTCCCAGGCCGCCCTGAGCTCCGTGCCCGCCCCGCTGCCGCGCTTCACCGCCGTGCTGGACCTCAGCCACAACAACATCAGCCGCCTGCGTGCCGACTGGGCGCCGGGCCGCCTGGCCCACCTGCACGCGCTGCTGCTGGCGCACAACGGCTTGGCCTTCGTCTCCACCGAGGCTTTCACCCACGTCCCTCACCTCCGCCACCTGGACCTGTCCTCCAACCGCCTGCGCACGCTGGAGGAGAACCTCTTCAGCGACCTCCCCGAGCTGGAGGTGCTGCTGCTCTACAACAACGAGATCTCCGCCGTCGACCGCTCCGCCTTCGACAACCTGAGCCGCCTCCGCAAGCTCTACCTGGGCCGGAACCACATCGCCCGCTTCCCTCTGGAGCTGCTCCGCGACGGCAGCCGCCCGGCTCAGCTCTCCCTGCTCGACCTCTCCTCCAACCGCCTGCGTTCGCTGCCGGCCGCCGAGCTGCAGGCGTTGCCCGCGTGGCTGCGCGACCGCCTCTACCTGCACGGCAACCCGCTGGGCTGCGACTGCCCGCTCTTCCAGCTGCTGGCCCGCGGGCGCCACCGCCGGCTGAGCGCCGTGATGGACTTCCAGGAGGAGCTGCGATGCCAGCTGCCGGCGGCGCCGAACCGAGCGCCGGTGGCCATTCTGGAACTGGGATCCCGAGAGCTGCTCAACTGCAGCGAGGCGAAAGAAGCCGTGCTGGAGGCGTACCTGGGGGACAGCGTCACGTTGGGCTGCGACAGCCGCCTGCGGGCGGCGCACGGCCGCCACTGGGTGACACCGGGGGGGGACAGAGTGACGGAGGAGGGCGGCAACGGCAGCGCGGCCGTGCTGGCCAACGGCAGCCTGCAGCTGCGGGCGCTGAGGCCGGAGGACGGCGGGACGTACGCGTGTCGGGTGTCGGGTCCGGCTTTTAACGAGACGCTCTACGTGGAGCTGCTGGTGCACAACTTCACCCTGCACGGCCCCCACGACGGCCTCAACACCGCCTACACCACGCTGGTGGGCTGCATCCTCAGCGTGGTGCTGGTGCTCATCTATCTGTACCTCACCCCGTGCCGCTGCTGCTGCCGCGCCGCCGCCGAAAAGCCGCCCGCCCCCCCCCGAGACGACAGCCTCAACTCCTCCGTGCTCAGCGCCACCCCCAACCACGCCGTCGGGGAGCCTCCGCCCCCCTCGAGGCCCCGCATTGCCGGGCACCGCGCCGCCCCGGGGGGGCAGAACGGGAGGTACAAAGCCGGGGGGAGCCCGCCGATGGCGGCGGTGGTGGGGGGAGCACCGAGGGAGGGACCCCGGGCGCAGAGGAAGGTGTCGGATCCGGACTCGGTCAGCTCGGTGTTCTCCGACACCCCCATCGTGGTGTAGTGGGGGGGGGGGGGGGG